ATATATATATATATATATATATATATATATATACAAGGGTCCCAAACTAGCATTGAGCAACCGCGGCTGCCCCGTTAACAGCAGCATCGCAAGGAAAAATGTCACGATTCATTTTACACCCATCGGAAAAAAATACGTCCGAGAATTATTCGCCGAACGTACACCCAAACGCGGCAACGACTCTTTATACCTTTGTACCTTTTACGCGAATACGCAAAGGATAGGATTGCACCTGCCACGCTCAGCGCTCCACGGCTGACGGTGCGCGCGCCCGCGTTTGTGCGTTTTCATCTTCTAGCTGTTGTAACTGACAGCAGCTGTGAGCCGCACTTGAAAACGTTAAGAAGTTGCGTGCGGCTTCGCTTCAAACGACTCGAAGCCGACGCGAGAAAGCTGTAGTGGGGGCTGCACGGCAAAGTATTTCGCCGCGGGCGGTTCACCGACGGAGAGGGACATTGTTTCGCAAATTAGATTCGATCGCTAATTTGCGCGCGAGATGTACGCCGGTAAGTTTCTTAACTAGCTTTGTGATTATTCTGCTTAATGTACCGCCGCGTCGCCCAATTACGCGATAGTCGGTATTACCTTGTGACTCCACCCTGTTCGGGAGAGGGGAAAGGAGCACACGTCGGATCAGTGGGGACCAATCGAATACATCGATCCGTCAATAATCGATAATCAATCCATCAATAATCGATAATAGATCCATACATAACCAATCCATCGATAATCGATATCATCAGTAGGGTCTAATCGAATACACTTTCGAAGCAGAAGGCAATAAGACGCGAACATCGATCACACGCGCATTTTCTATACATCTGCCATCGCTCCGAACCCCTCCCCACCCCCACCTCTCTCCTTACCGCCTGTCTGCCTGCCAGAGCAGACAAATACGACAGCTGTGACGCAACGACCATTACCTTTTTCCAGAATACGGAAGGTATCGGCGTTCCTGTCGCGTTGCAGAAGAGCAGCACGCTGTCACCTGCTTTATAATACTGTAGAGGCGGAGGTGTGTCTGTGAATTTTGGTGGTGCTGAAAAAAAGAGAGAGAGAAATGCGTGAGATTATCATTAAGGGTTATTAGCATAACGTATAAACACATTATACAATACGCTGCACAGACGCAGAGTTCCTTTACCTGCATCATTAATGTGACAGAAATTACATTACACTTTCTTTTCCCGCGGCTATTTAATGTGCTAATGCTGTGAAATCGTAAGATGTTGAAAAAAAGGGGCAATTTCCATTTTATCTGGCTCATGCATAAGAACAACTTTGGAAATATTATTCTATATCCTAAGAGTGATTGATAGGTTATAGGCAATGACCATCCCAGGCGTTATGTGCCCACCGCGTGCATTAGATAGCCAAAGCTCTGAAAATTCAAATTTTACAACTATATATTATATACATCAATGTGTATGCGTGTTGTGAGCGTACATGCTTGCTTGTCAGTGTTCGTGTATCAGTGCGTGAACGTGTACTTATACGCATGTAAATGTATGTGTGCGTATGATTTAGCGCGCGTGCGCGTGCGATACTTGTAGTAAGGTTAGGAAACACGTCTCTTAGCAAATCCACAATTACAAAATCTAATTGTTTCACGATAAATACGCGGATACGGGCTGCATGTCGGATAAGGCCCTAAAACTAAGACTTTTAGACCGAGTTGTTCCCCGATGGCACCACTGGCATATCCGACAAATTTATTGCGACTTACACCACCTAGCTGTTGACAGAACGATTGCGCACACATCATCAAAGTCATGACTATAATATGAAGCCTATACTATATTAGATTGCGATATGATGACATGGATCGAAGAAATATATTGACTTAGGCCTATATACACTTGCACGATAACCATATCCCGTGCGTTTCTGTTACATGGCATTATTGTTGTTGTTGTTGTTATAATA